CCCCGGAATTGTTTCAAATTTGTTAGTTGTAGTTCGATATGCATACTTCAGCCTAAGACAGAAAATTGTGTGTGCAGGTCAACGTCTTCGTATAGCCCCCCATATAACGGTACCTCCCGATAGTCGGTATTAAGATGATTTTAGAGACATTACTCACAAGAGTAGTTTCAAATTACGTTATAGAGTTCGTATAGGGAACTACAGTCTGTGACAGAAAATTGTCTTTGCAGGTCCATTTCTTCGTATAGGCCCTATATATCCGTACCTCCCTATATTCGGTATTTTGACGAATTTAGGTACAACACTCACCGAAATTGTTTGCGATGTCGTATTTAAAGTTCGTAATGGAAGCTGAAGCCTGTGACGGACAATTGTCTATGCAGGTCCAGGTCTACGTATAGCTCCGATATAACTGTACCTCCCTATATATGGTATTTTGATGATTTTAGCTACATTATTCGCCGTTTATTTCATGTTTCGAATTTGAATATGGCAATGGCTTATGACAAACAAGGTCTATGTAGGTCTACGTCGTATAGACCCCAATGTAACGGTTGTATTCGGTATTTTTAAGATTTTAACAGAATTTTTAACGAATTTTATTTTTTTGAAAATGTCCATATTCGTTCCAAACAGTGGAGGGAATTCAAAGCTCGGCACGGTCGAACTTACGGCTTTTTAACTTGTTGGAATTTTAATGGATTCACCCCGAGCTTATTTTTCAATATTTGCGAATGGAATATTGCGATATGTTCAGCTCACGAGCCATTTTTTGGCCACTGCGACGCGGGTTTTGATCAAGTCGCTTCTTTACTTTTCGAACCATTTCTGCTGATGTTGCTGTTTTCTTCTGTCCACTTCCTTGACGACGGGCTGCGCCACCGGTATCACGGTAACGGGCGATGCTACGGGACACACAAGATTTATTCACATTTAAATGCTGGAGTGCCCTAACGATACCCACTTTCGGTTTTCCAGCCAAATATAAAGAAATCACACTATCACGCTTGAATTCCATCACGAATAAATTTTTTTTTTGGAAAATTCTCACCAAAATGCTTTTGTACGCTTGTAAACAATATAATGAGCTGTCACTGGAATAATTTTAACAGCTGTCGGACGAGTGGCTTAGAAATGACAGAGGTCTGAATTTGGTTGCAGCTTTTTCATCTCATCCTGTACATCTTGGTTAAATAGTTAAAAAAATACATTTCAAATTTATATTTAAAGTGGAAATTATATGAAAAAAATTTTTCTTATCTTCGGCAAATTTTGAGAATCCTAGCTGAATAACAAATTGTCCAACTTGCTTTTTATATTAAAAGTGCTTAAAACTCTTCTCAAAATTATTTTTAAACGATTGTCCTTTTCTGTAAATATCTAATTTCTAAAATCTAATTTTCCCAAATCACGAAATGTTGCGTTGCACTCTAACAGCTCTTCATAATCACATAACACCATTCCGCTTATCCAATGCACTAAAATTATTTTATTATTTTTACATTAGCACTCTCACACATACATACATACCACACATTTTTCGTAACTCTGTGACTTTTTTGGAATTGCATTTCCACAGTTTACTTATTACATTGTATTACTTTAAGTGTCCACTCTTTTTTCGCTGCTATCGCATTGCAACCAGCACTGGTATTAATTTTACAAACTTGACTTGATTCAAAATTCTCTCCCTCCACCAACACCCCTCCCCCCAAATGCTGTGTTGTAACGCTCACAAAGTTTTCATGACAAATGTAAAGTTTGCTCAACAAATTTTCAAAAAAAACAACGAAAATTGTACACTGCGATTTTGGCTTAGATTTATTTACTCAGCTTTTTCATGTTCGTCGCCATGACCCAGGCAAAGGATTTGATATTCTTTTCGTTGGGGGTTTTTTTTTTCGCCACACTCAGCCAGCACACAAGGTCCATTCACCAGCCAACCCCCCTGGCCGACCCACTCGAACTGTATCAAAAAGTCCATATAACTTTTTTTCTGTTGGTTTTTATAAAATCTCATATCTGGATGACAATAAATCTGCAACCAATTTGATAACAGAAACTTAGGAGGGAAGAGGAGGACGAAGTTTCTATTGCAAATATTGCTACTGCTAAAGCTGCAGGGATGGAAATTCGTTGAAACATGTCATTGTTCTCAAGCAGATCTTCTTTGGCCTTTGGAAGGGATTCTACGGATCGAAGACCTTGATATGGTATTTTATGGACAGAAGAACTAGAAAATGTTTTCAAAGGCAAGAAAAGAAGAGATATTTTGTCCACGGACCTTCAGAAGGTAGTCCTTAGGAGGAAAATCACGAGAGGGTATTCTATGGACAAAAGTTTTTGGGAAAGTATTCTTAAGAGTCCTGTGAATATTTTATGGACAGAAGAACTAGAAAATGTTTTCAAAGGCAAGAAAAGAAGAGATATTTCGTCCACAAACCTTCAGAAGGTAGTCCTTAGGAGGAAAATCATAAGAGGATATTCTATGGACAAAAGTCTTTGGGAAAGTATTCTTAAGACTTCTGTCCTTAGAATAACCTCTCGAAGGTTAGAGGACCCTGAGAAGGTCTTCTCAGGATTTTTTATGAACAGAATCTGTTTAAAGGCCGTCTATGAACTGAGGATAATGGTTTTCTATGGGCAGAAAGGTTCTTATATTGACAGAGGAATCGTACGAAGTCCTGTGAATATTTTATGTACAGAGGAACTAGAAAATGTTTTCAATGGCAAGGAAAGAAGATATATTTTGTCCACAGACCTTCAGAGGAAAATCATAAGAGGGTATTCTATGGACAAAAGTCTTTGGGAAAGTATTCTAAAGACCTCTGTCCATATAATAACCTCTCAAGAAGGTTATAGGACCCTGAGAAGGTCTTCTCAGGATCCATTATGAACAGAATCTTTTTAAAGGCCGTCTATGAACAGAGGATAGAGGTTTTCTATGGGCAGAAAAGTTCTTCTATTGACAGGGAAACGTAGAAAGTCCTGTGAATATATGCCCTTAAAAATGTCTTCTAAGGACAGAGAAAGATCTTCTATGGTAGAGGGTCTTAAGATGGTCCTCTAGAATTTCTTCTAAAAGAGGTCCCTAAGAATTTCTTCTATGAAGAGAAGACCATTGGAATGTCTTCTATTGACGAAGAAGCCTCAGGAGGTCTTCTGTTGACAGAAGACCTTGAAAAGGCCTTACAGAAGGCCTTCGGATGGACCCCTATAAAAATATGATCTTTAGTAGGTCTTCTACGAAAAGGCGACATTTAGAAGATCTTCCAGCGAGAAAAGGAAATCAGAAAGTTTTCTATGGAGGAGAAGATAATTTATAAACAGAATGTCATGGAGATGTATTCTATAGACAGAGGAGCCTTAAGAAGTGTTTTGTGGACAGAAGATCTTGAAAGAAGATTGTATAGAGAAGATCTTCCAAGGACAGAATGCCCTAAAAAGGTCTTCTATAGACATAGAACCTTTAGAAGGTCTTATACTACGAGAGGACTATTAGAAAGTTTTCTATGGATATAAGCTCCTGAGAAAGTCTTCTATTGACAGATGAACCTTTGTAGTATGTATAGAGGGCCTTCTGGAGGCCATCTTCAAAAAGACGATCGTTAGAATACATTCCATGGACAGAAGTTTTCCTATTGATAGAGGACCTTTAGAAAGCCCTCTATAGAAAGAGATCCTTAAGAAGGTCTTCTATTGACAGAGGAGCCTTAGGAAGTGTTCTGTCGACAAAACACCTTTAAAAGGATCTTCCAAGAACAGAAAACCCTCAAAAGGGTTTCAATGGACAGAGTACCATTAGAAGGTCTTCTATGAAGAGAGGGATTTTAAAAAGTCTTCCATGGATATACAGTCCTGAGAAGGTCTTCTATTAACAGAGGATCTTAAGAAGGTCTTTTGTGGATAGAAGACCCTGAGAAGATGTTCTAAGGAATCTTTCGAAGATCTTCTATGAGCAGAGGTTATTTGAAGAAGACTGTTTTCTTGGCACAGAAATCCTTGAAAAGGGTTCTTTTGTCAAAAAGTAATAAGAAGTTCTTCTATTGGCAGAGAAAACGTAGGAGGTCTTCTGTAAACAGATGGCCTTGAAAAGGTATTCCATGAATAAAATACCATGAGGAGATTTTTCATGGACGGAGGTCCTCAGAAGGACTTCTATTGACACACGATCTTTAGAAGGTTTCCTATGAACAGAAGTCCTTGAAAATATCCTTGAGGGTCAGGAGGTCTTCAAATGGTATTCCATAGACAAAAGCATATGAGAAGGGCTTCTACGGACAGGGAGACCTTAAGAGGACTTCTGTGGACGAAAGACCATGGACAAAGAACGATGAGAAGATCTCTCATGATCACAAAGACCTTAAGAAGATCTTTTGTAAACAGAAGTATTTTAGAAGCTTCCCTGTAAATCAAAGACATTTGAACGTTCCTTGAAGGATGGAAGACCTTTAAAAGGGCCCTTGCGAACATATTCTATTGCCTGATGACCATGCGAAAGTCTTCAATGGGTAGAAGATCTTAAAGAGGTCTTCCATGGAAAGAATTTTGATAGTAGAAGGATCTTTGGAAGTTCCTAAGAGGTTTTTTTTCTTTTGAAAAAAAAGTTGATCTTAACATTTTAAAATGTCCATCCCTGGCTGGCTGTGGCAAAATCAAGGAAAATATTTTTTCTCCAATTAGAGTAAAGTGATATTTGTTATTTCAATGTAGGAGAGCAAGGTCACTTCATAAAGCAAGGAGATTTCAAAAATTAACGCTGGAGTTTGTAATAATCTGGCAACGAATGAAAAATGCGATAAAATTACGAACATTTTTGTACTTTTCTAAGCTAAATGAGAAAATCGAATATTATCATGGAGTTGCTTATGTTGTAAATTAAACGGATTAGAAAAAAACTCAAAACTAATTTTTGACAAAAAAGTTTATCCAAAAATTTCATCATTGGTTTTCACTCATCAAAATTTTTTTTAAATTTTTTCTTCCTCCTTTTTTTCCAGATCTCTCTAACGATGAGTTGGACAATGAGGACGATGATGCCGGCTCCTCGGAATTTCTCAACACCAACAGTTATCATCCGTCTACGTCGCCTTTTAAATCGCAACGCCAGCGTTCGCTGACACCTGATCGCAATGAATCACACAGTTCGTCGAGTAGTTTACGCAAACAGCGCTCACTAACACCCGAATCACGTTCACTAACACCGGAAGATCGTCGCCGTAAGGGATCGCAGATCTCGTTGATGGGTTCGCGTCAAAATTCCAGTTCACGTAGCAATACCCTGGAACGTAAACATGAAAAAGTGAATATTTCACGTAGCTCATCGAGTTCAAGTTACAGTGGCCGGGAACATGATAATCATGGCATTGGCGTTGGTGGAGGTAATGGTCTGAATGTTGTTGGTAGTGCGCAGTATCGGAGATCGGTTAGTCGCAATGCCAAACAGGCGGAGGAACATCGCATTCGAAGATCAAGGTGAGTGAGGTGTGCTTTGTTAAATAAGATCGATTTTTGGAGATTTTTACTTAAAGTGAAGAAATGTACTAAACGGTACAAAATAGTACACAATTATTATTTGTAGTGAGATAGATTTATATGTAAGTGGATAGGTAAATGAAAACAGACATAAAAACATAGAAATAGATAGGTAGATATCAAGAAATCAAAATCTTTGGAAATTTCTCACGGATCCCTCGTAAAAGTACCAAAAGGGACAAATGGGATAATTCTCTGTGATAATGTGATCAATAAGGCATAAGCCACCATTGGATAAAAAATTTGTATATTCGGAAACTCGTACTTCAAGCGTGCGAAAAATACTGAAATGGGCCCTAGTCGTAAAAAACGGCCGGGAAAAATTGCAAACTCAAAATGTTGCATAAAATGGTACAGTGAAGCGATGATTTTGGATATCTAGGTTATTGAAGGGAACAAAATGTACTGAATGGTACATTATTGATATTGAGCGATCGGAAGGGATTTAATGATTAAAATCTTGTTTTAAGGTCAACCTTGGCAATGAAGTAAGTCACAATCCAGCGGAAATTTATGAAAATGGTATATTTTGCAACTAAGCCCATTAGGCCCTTTTAAGAGGACCTCTCAAGTATGCAACGTATTTTTAGAAAATGAGGGTACGAAGTATACAGGTGTAAGAGTATGAGATTTTTCGGAAATTAGTACAATTAGGGTGCAAAAAGTACTAAATTGTAATTGAATGATCGGAAAAGTTAGAATTTTGCCTAGTACGAAGGTCATTCTTGGCCTATGGGTTGAAGTATGGCGATGCTTTTATTCATTCGTACTTTAAGGGTACCAAAAGTACTAAATGAGACAATATGGTACATATATATTTTTTTAAATGTCATCGTTATATTTAAAACAAGTAAGCAAAGGCTACAGTCGAGCGGGGCCGACCGTTGAATACCCTACAACACTATAATAAACGATACAGTTTATATAGGCGAGATACTCGAAAGAATTCCACAAGATATTGTGACAAATAATAAAGGAAAACCATCAGGTTTCGTTCTCTAATTTTTGAATAATGGCAACTTAAACTAATTTAAATGTTTTTCCTAGATCTGGAACCAATATTTCCCAAAGACCTATAATCTCCCAGAAGTGGCAAAAGATTAACATTTATTATTGGTTTTTGACTGAAACGCATCTATATGAGATACAGACATTTGACTATATTCTTCAAAGAAATCAGCGTTATTTGTGAATTCTCCAAAAAGTCACTGGAATAGACATTTTCGTATTTTGTCTACAAAAGTTAGCAAACTATTTCACACATTGAATATTTTTGGATGGCCATCCAAAACTGCTTGGCTTTTGCAATGTCCTGTAACCCCCATTCAAATGTGCCTGAGGATCGGGCGATAATTACGACCTACTGACAATTTTGCAGTTTTTTGGTCCATTTCAACCCCTAAATATATGGCGATCATCTCCAAAAAGAGTAGACTTCTATTCTGACCCTCATCTTATCCCCATGCAAAATTTCGTAAGGATCGGGCCATAAATGCGATCTGTATATGATATCCTGTAATCCTAACTACTTAGTTTTGTTAGCTGTAGAAATATTACCACATGTTGACAAAATTGAAAAAATATGAGAAAATTTAAAAAAATCAATATTTTCATCTTCATAGAGATATTTTTATTCGATTTTTTAGACGTTTTTTCTTTCCTGCCAAGAGGCCATTCTGAATTAATGAGAACTGTCGAAATCAGTTCAGCCGTTCTCGACATATAAGAGATCTTTCAAGCATATCTCCTTTGATAGACATATATATCGCACATATTTTGCTATATATCCGACTTGTTGGATGTTAAAATCAATGTAAAGGTCAGAAGTAACCTTGTCATGGCTTTGTGATTTCGCCGGTATTTAAAATATTCGCGGTTTCATGAAAAATTTTGAATTTTTTCAACACAAAAGATATGGTATATTTTACCCGCTAAATATTATCCGATGACCACCCAAATTGGTAGGCTTCTTCTCCGCCCTAAACTCTAGCTACATGCGAAATTCCGCGTCGATTGTTCTATAATTGCGACCTGTATAGCTACTGCAAAATCCGACATTTTTTCAGTATTTGGTCCATTTCAACCCCTAAATATTATGCGATCATCTCCAAAAGAAATAGGGTTCTATTCTGACCTAAGCCCCACCTCCATTCTAAATTTCGTGAAGGTCGGGCCATAATTGCGACCTGTAGAGTGATTACAAATTAACATGGACCGACGGACAGACGGACGGACGGACATACATAGCTAGATCGACTCAGCTCGGCGAGCTAGGAAGATCCATATATACTTTCCTATATGGGAAATCAATATTTCGAGGTGTTACATAAATTCTGGCCCAATCAAACTTATAATACCCCCAACACATAGTGTTGTAGGGTATAAATATTAAATATTGGCCATTATTGGGTGGAATACGCCCGATTTTTTGAAATACAAAAAGTACTAAATGACACATCAATACTATCAAAATTTGGAAAAAAGTTTAAACTTAGACATTCTGTCAGTCATCGTTCAGAGGGGTAAAAAGAGTATTCACTTTGTGCAATCTGTTAGAGCTAGACATTTTACGTTGATCCTACTCCTGCAGTAGATAATTGAAATTTTAATTGAAACAAAATCGCTTAACTCTTTTATAAAGCGAAGCGGATATTTTAAAATTTTATGTGAGGCTCACTCCAGGTTTAGATGTGGAAAGATTTTTACGATACATATTGTGGTTTTGGGAAAATCGTACAAAAAGGTACTAAAGTGTCCTACACATTTCTATACCCTCAGTCATTTGGCTAATGAGGATATATCATTTGATGCGACCAAAGCGTGACTCATTTTTAGACCCTAAGTCTCTTTGTACTAAATCTGTTTCAGGACATTTGGAGTCGATCTAGCGATATCCATCGGTCTGTCCATCTGACTCTCTGGCTGGTGCTCACGACAACTCTCGAAGGGAGTATCGCATTTGGTACATCGTAATATTTTTGTCAAACTTAGATCGAGTTCGGAGATGGGCAATATCGGCCCCCTCCTTCTAGTACCTCCCATACAAAATGTCAAAATTTTCAAAGAAAATAATTTATTGCACAGAAATTGAAAGGATAATTCGATTTTGCTCCAACTTTGCAAATCCTAATATTTGCGTCAGTTCTAGGTCAGGTGCGAAAATGGACAATATCGGTCCACTCCATCAAGTACCTCTCCCACAAACGGTCAAAATTTTGAATAATTACAACTCTTATAAAATTTAATGTAAGAGTCCGATTGTCTTCAAATTTCACACATCCCAATATTTTTATCAACCCAAGTTCTGGTTTTAAGATGGAATACATTGGTCCACTCTTTCTGGTACCTCCCCCACAAAAGTTCGAAATTTTCAAAAAAATATTTTTTTTTTTCACAGAAATAGAAACGGTGATTCGATTTTGCTCCAATCTTGCAAATCCTAATATTTGCGTCAGTGCTACTTCAGGTGTGAAAATGGACAATATCGGTCCACTTCTTCTGGTACCTCCCCCACAAAGGGTCAACATTTTGAATAATTACGACTCTTATAAAATGTGATCTTAGAGTCCGATTGTCTTCAAATTTCACAGATGGTACCACCTGGTACCACACCCACAAAAGTTCGAAATTTTTAAACAAAAAAAAACAAAGAAAGAGAAGAAATAATCCGATTTTGCTCCAACTTTTCAAATCCTAATATTTGCGTCAGTTCTAGGTCAGGTGCAAAAATTGCTAATATCGGTCCACTCCATCAAGTGCGTCCCCCATATAGGGTAAAAATTTGGAAATGTGATGTAAGAGTACGATTGTCTTAAAATTTCACAGATCCCAATATTTTTACAAACCTAAGATCTGGTGTTAAGATGGATTATATCGGTCCACTTCTTCTGGTACCTTCCCCACAAAGGGTCGAAATTTTGATTATCCATTTAGCTCATAAAACGCGAAATTAACATCGAATTCCATTTAGACTTGCCACATCTGAATATTTCTATCAACACAGGATCTGTTAAAAGACTTTAAGATCGGACCATTCCTTTTGGTAGCTCCCCCACAAAAAGGTCAAAGTTTTGAATTACCAAAACGTTTATAAAATCGCAGATAAGCATTAGGTTTTCTTTATATTTTACACATCCTATTATTTCCACTAACAAAAGATCTGTTGCGTAGATGGAATATATCGATCCACTCCTTCTGGCACCTCCCCCACAAAGGCTCAAATTTTTGAATATCCATGAAGCTCATAATATTCGAAATTAACATCCGATTTCATTCAAGACTTGGTATATCTCAATATTTCCTTCAACACAAGATACGTTATAAAGGTGGTAAAAATCGGACCATTCCTTCTGGTACCGCCCCCACAGAGAGTCATAAAACCATAAAATCCAAAATAAGCATCCGGTTCTCGACAAATTTCACACATGCCATTATTTTTACTAACACAAAATCTTCTCAGAAAATGGGATAAATCGGTCCACTTCTTTTGGTATTTCCCCCATCTTCAAATTTCACAAATCCAAACATTTTTGCTAACGCAAAATCTGTTGTGAAGATGATAGGTATCTGCCAACACCTTCTGGTACCTCACCCACAAAGGGTCACAATTTTCAATACTTACATCTGTAATAACCTGTGAAACAACTCGGGGATTCTATACAACTTGCTATATCTAAATATTTTTCTTATCCAGAAATCTGATATTAATATGTTATTTATCGAAATTTATGATTTCGTATAATTTAAAATTTGCACATACCTGTATTTTATCTGTATTAGCTGAAGTGGTCCGCTATGTCTGGTACTTCACTCATATTTCCACATTTTCCAAAAAATTTGCACATATCTCATATAAAGTATAGGAAGTACACGATATAGTTAAAATATGGCGCGTTGTAATATTTATATCAGTCTTAGGTCATATACGAATTGAACAATATTGGCCAACTGCTTCGGAACCCCCCTTAGGGTCAACAGTTAGAATAATCATAGCTCAAGGATGGGGTATACATCTGTCGGCAAAACCGACTGATTTTTTTTTAACTTTTTTTCTATTTGCAACTAACCCACCTCTTTCTCTCTCTCTCTCCATCTCTCTTTTTGCAGATCCCTCCAACTGACCGAACGTTCACCGAATCGAGCTCACAAGATGATCGTTTGTGTTGGCCAGCCACATGCCAATTCGAATCAGCCACCCATTTATCAACAGGCCAATCTGCGCAATAATCAAATGGCTTCGATGGGGCCGACAAATAATTTTCCACCCACAATACGAACTACCGGAAAATCCCAATCAATTCTATTGGGTCCGACAAATGGAGGTGGTGCGAAAATTGTGCGACAAAACGATATTGATAAAAGTCGTTCATTCGATTTTGATTATTGCAATTACAATTCACAGACGAATGCCATGAAGGCCCAGCACAGCAATAACTCGCTGCTAGGCAGTGCAGGGGTGTTAAATCGCGATGCTGCGATGAGATTGGATTTTGATAAATCACGTTCCTTTGATGATGACTACAGGGAGGCGGTGGTGAGCAATAATAATTTGAATGCGGCGGCAATGCGTTATTTGCAGGCGGCCGCCGAGTCATCGGAAAGGAATCATCAGCAGAGAATGCGTCGATCCTCACCAGTTGAGGGTGGCGGAGGAGGAAGTGGTGGAGGTTCTCGTAATACACGATCACCACAGTCGTCGGGATCGTCTTGCAATAATTTGAGTGTGCCCCGGCAAACCACCAGTCCCCAGAATTATGGCACACGATTGTGTGATCATGAAATGACCTATGACCTAATGCGCAAGAGCTTGGATCGTTCACCGATTATGGAATTCCGTAGAGGTGATAGTGCTGGCGGAGGCAGCAGTGGAGGTGGCGGCGGAGATTATGACATGCCCATTATGCGCAATCGCGAGACGATTAATTCGGGTGGCAATTCGGAATTGAATTTTATGAATAACGATGGTCGGATCTATGAACATGTCAGCTCGAATTCTTTGAAACAGCAACGGTCGCTGCGCAGAACCCATAGTCCCAATGAGTCACACTATTCGCTGGAACGTGGATCCCATGATCGTGGATCATCGAGGGATGAGATGACACCACCTGATGCGCAGCCAGATTATCGCAACGATTACAATGATATGTATCGGCGCACCCGAAGCACAAATCGTGGAAGGTATTGAGGGAAGAATTTATACACCAGCAAAATTTGTACGACTAACAAGTTTTTTGAGAATCCAATTAACTGAATTTGAATTCACAACTCACACATACACACACACACACACCAATTTACAGTGGTGGTTAAAAATTTAGCTAACCTATTGATAATATTAATAAAAATTACAAAAAAAAAGCAAATAAAAGAAAAACTTGTAGTGATTCCCACATTTTTTTTTAAACAAAGAGAAAAATACCCAAAAATACTCAAAAAAAAAATGTTAATTTAAGTGTTGAAATACCAAAACAGCAAGAAAAAAAAACCTACTAATACTATTAAATGTTTATAGAAAACTTTTCCCCACAAAAAAAAAAAATACCAAAAAAAAAATGAGAATAACAACAAATGAATTTCACCACTTTGTGTTTGTTTAAGAAGAAGAAGACTGCTTGGCAAGACATATTTAAAATGAAAACAAAAAACATAACCTAAAAAAATAATTCAAATTAAACATTTTCCGAACACCTGAACTTTTATGGATCAACTAAGAGTAGAATGTATTATGTTTAACAAATAACTAAACAATAACATAGACTAAGCCCAAGAGAAGAAGAAGAAGACGAAGAAGAAGAATAATAAAAAAGAGACAACAGAAAATGATAGCAGAAGAAACAACACACGATTAACCAAGAGTCTGTAGTGCTAATGTTAACTATTAAGAAACTCACCATATTAACAGAACAAAAAATTATTAACAAATAAAAAGGAAGTATTAAAAACCAAAAGAATATTCAATAAAAACGAAATATATCTCCCAAAACAATAACCAAACAAAAGCTTTAATCTCTTCTTAACTGGTTTGCAATGGTTTCCAAATGGGGCAATACTAACAACCACCCTTGATGGTATGTGGCTATGCACAATGTAATTTATGGTAATTCATCACATGCTTAATAATACAAAAACACATACTCACCACCTTTATCTCCTGTATTAGTTTTTAGTTTTTTTTTAATGATTTACATATTTAAAAAATTGTTGTTCTTAATATTTATTTAATTTAAGTTATTTCTAGTTATAGCTTCATTTATTAATAAAAAAATATATATAAAATAATAAATAAAAATTATACATAAATAAATATAATAATTAATTTTTATCATAATTTTTAATAATAATATTATTAAAAATAATATTATTACAATTAAAAATTAATATTTAATAATTTTTTATGTAAGACAACAGTTTGTGTTTTGGCCTTTTTAGTACTCAAAATGCACAATTAGTTCAGAAACTTATTAAATCTTACCGAAATACTCAGATTTTCAAGGTCTTAGTTTTTATTCAATTTTTTTCTTTTTCGGAAGGAATAGTAGAGAATTGTGTACCTTATACAGGGTTGCCCATATTCGACGGACCCATGTTTTTTTTTTTTTTTTTTTTTTTTTAAATCAAAGAAAAAAATAAAAATTTGGCGGTTGGCAATGTTAATCATTTAATTTGTTCCAAGTAGATTTGTTTACATCAATTTTTGAATATGATATCTCTCAAATGGCCGCCTCTGGGTGTTGATGACGTATTGTGCCCTTTTTGCTAAATTTTCCATCGTTTTTGCCAACATTTCGGCCGGAATAGCGGCTATTTCTTCACGAATGTTGTCCTTGAGCTCTTCTACGGTCCTTGGCTTGTTAACTTAAACCTTTGACTTCAAATATCCCCACAAGAAGAAGTCAGGCGGCGTCAAATCGGCCGAACGCGGTGGCCAGTCCAAATCACCACTTTTCGACATCAAACGGCCCGGAAACAAATTCTTCAGAAAATCGATTGTTATGCGACTTGTGTGCGGTGGAGCGCCGTCTTGTTGAAACCAGAACTGCCTCATACGCTTTCGACGAATAATTGGCATCACAAAATTGGTCATCATGTCGCGATAACGCTCCTGATTGATGGTAACAGCATGACCATTTTCATTTTGGAAGAAAAACGGCCCAATGACCGTTTTTGCACTAACGCCGCACCAAACTGTGACTTTTTCGTCATGAAGAGGAACTTCTTGAATCTCCTGAGGATTTTCAGTGGCGTAAAAATGGCAATTTTGCTTATTTACGGTCCCATTCAATGTGAAATGGGCTTCATCGGACATGATAATTTTGTTCCAAAATTGCTCGTCATCTTCGGCCATTTCGATGACTCTTTGGGCCCATTCCAATCGACGAGGCTTGTCCGCAGGCAACATTCTTTGCGTCAATTGAATTTTGTACGGCAACAAATGCAAATCAATGCGAATAATCCGTTGTAAAGTGGACCGAGCCATGCCCAACTGCTGAGAACGGCGTTTTTTGGATGTTCTTGGGGACCTCTCAACACTGGCTCGTACGGCAGCGATATTCTCGGCCGATCGCCTTGGTCGACTTTTATATGGCCTCTTCGGATTAGAAAGAGCCTTACCAGTCGAAAATGTTTCGTATAAACGCTTAATGGTGTTCTTAGAAGGCGCACTTCTCACATTTTTTAATGTTTTAAAAGCACGTTGAGTTTTCACAATTGACTTCTTCTGTTGAATGTAAATTTCAACTATTTCAGAGCGCTCGCGTGGCGTGTATTGGTTCATGGTAAAAATCTGCTTGAACTGACGCTTCAAACGCGGTATGTCATTAAGCGATGTGTCAAAAAGTTTGGGGTTGCCAGATGGGTCCGTCGAATATGGGCAACCCTGTACACTTTTTTGAAACCACCTCCATATGCAGCGACCCTAATAACAAAATTTCAGATTTCAAGTACTACCTCTTCACCCAATACCAAATTGTACCAAATATAGTACTATTTAGTACTTTTCGTGCAAGTGTAGTACACATTTCCAAATCTCTTTATCACAAACCCATCACCAACGGGGCCCCAATACAAAATTTCGAAATTCCAGCTTCATCTATCCACCTTAAACCAAACTGTTCCAATTGTAGTACCATTTAGTACAGTTTTCACACTTAGTACATATTTTCAAAACCATCTTCTTATGTCAAGATTACTTTTCAACTTTGACTCTCGTATCAAATTTCAAATTTTTAGCTCTATCCGTTCACGTAATACCAAATGGTAACATTTTAGAAGTTTTGTACCATTGTTAGACCTTTTCGTACCCTTAAACCTCGAATTTCCAATAACGCTTTGGTACATCTATTTTGCACTCAGTCTGTGACTCTCATTCCAAATTTCAGAATTCTAGCTCAATCCGTTTGTCCAATACAAATTATTCAATATTCAGTACATTTTAGTACTTTTTGTACATTTCCAAACTCACGAATTTCCATTTGAAACTTAGCCATTTCACACTTCTATGTACCAAATCGGACCCTTTGGCAAAATTTATATTTATTTATCCACTTATTTATGTAATAATTTAGTTTTTTTTTTTTTTGTTTTTTTTTATGTTAATTTGTATATGTTTTTTTTATACCCTCCACCATACTATGGAGGGTATATTAACTTTGTCATTCCGTTTGTAACTCCTCGAAATACTCATGTCAGACCCAACAAAGTTTATATATTCTTGATCAGCGTAAAATTCTAAGTCGATTTAGCGATGTCCGTCCGTCTGTCTGTCTGTCTGTTGTAATCACGCTATATTTCGAATGAATTGAGATAGATGGCTAAAATTTTGCACACATGTTTATTTTTTCAGTAGGCAGGTTAAGTTCGTAAATGGGCCATGTAGGTCCACGTCTTCGTATAGCCCCCATATAACGGTACCTCCGGATAATCGGTATTTTGATGATTTTAGGGTCATTTTTCACCGGCATTGTTTCAAATTTGGTATTTGAAGTTCAAAATGGATACTACACCCTAAGACAGAAAATTGTCTGTGCAGGTCCTCGTCTTCGTATAGCCCCCATATAACGGTACCTCCCTATATTCGGTATTTTGATGATTTTAGCGACATTATTCACCGGAATTGTTTCAAATTTGGTATTTGAAATTCGTAATGAATACTACAGTCTGTGACAGAAAATTGTCTGTGCGGGTCCAGGTCTTCGTATAGGCCCCGTATATCAGTACCTCCCTATATTCTGTATTTTGATGATTTTAGCGACATTATTCACCGGAATTGTTTCAAAATTGGTATTTGAAGTTCGTAATGAATAGTACAGTCTGTGACAGAAAATTGTCTGTGCGGGTCCAGGTCTTCGTATAGGCCCCATATATCAGTACCTCCCCATATTCGGTATTTTGACGATTTTAGGTACAATACCCACCGAAATTGTTTGAAATGTGGTGTTTGAAGTTCGTAGTGGATGCTAAAGCCTGTGACAGAAAATTGTCTATGCTGGTCCAGGTCTTTGCACAGCTGCAATTTAACGGCACTTCCTTATATACGATATTTTGATGATTTTAGCTACATTATTCACCGTTTATTTCAAGTTTCCAATTTGAATATGGTAATGGCTTATGACAAACAATGCCTATGTATGTCCACGTCGTATAGACCCCAATATAACGGCTATATTCGGTATTTTTAAAATTTTAACAGAATTTTTTAAGGATTTTATTTTTTAAAAATTTCCAAATTCGTTGCAAATGGTGGAGGGTATTAAAAGTTCGGCCCGGCCGAACTTAGTGCTTTTTAACTTGTTTATTTTTTAATTATTTTTACGTACCTCTTTAATATATATTATTAACGTATTTATTGCTTATTTACAGTAAATATTACTATTTTTTTTTTTGTATTATTTCTTTTGTATTAAGTAGTATTATTTCATTTTTTATTATTAATTTATCATTATATATGATTTTTTTTATTTTTAAATTTTTAACCCATTGATTTTTTATATTTCACTGTTTTTTATTTTAGGTCATTTATATATATTTTTTTTGGATTTTTTATATTTTCATAATTAATAATTTAGTTTTCCTCATTTATAATTTTTTTTTAATTTTCATTCACTTTTGCAAACTTCCACATTCATTTTTTCAGCGATTCCCCAAAATCTTCGCACTCAAAAACTCTGCATATTGCCAAAAACTCCAACTGCTCGCCAGCTGAAGACAGGCTTTGTTCGAATGGGCCCAAATCATGTGGATCGTGCCAAAGTCTACCCTATGACAAACAACACGACTACTTGAAATCATTGACTCTCAAGAGAAACCACCTCAATCGCCCATTATCACTTCAGAACAATAAAAACCACACCTTGCCATCCACTTCTACAAATGGTCATACGAAGCACCCTAATATATCAACTGTTAAGGTCAATGTAAACAATAATGATACTGCCACATTCTCATCATCTTGCACTGAAGAAAAATCACCAGTTGGACCTTTTTCACCAGGCTCTGCACTAACAAAAACACGTTCCTCAAACAATATCTCTCAGTGGACATTGCTGTGCAAAAATGCCACAGCTTCAACTTTTTCGCTCTCAGCAACATCTGCCGCAGCCAAATCTCAAACAACTGTTTATCACAATGGCGGCGACAATGAGAATGGCTGCAGTGCAACACCAACTCCTCGTCATACCCTTGTCAATGTCAACTCGACCATGAACTCATCCCAACTGCGACCGCCATCGTTAATGTCCGGAACTATGTTGACAGACACACCTCGTGTCATTCCACTGGCTGCAACATCTTTGGTGTTTTTAGGTGATTGTGAAATGTCAGTGACACCAAAACGGAACGACTTGGGTGATGAAGTTGATGGAGCAACCAGTGACATTTCTGAGAAACTGCAGGATAATGTGGCAATCGCTGGTATGTGTGATAATGGTGCTGCCAACTTGAAAGTCGACATTGGAACAAGGTAAGTTAATAGGTCAGAGCCCTAAAAATAGTTTCTTGTGAATTCAAAGCCACGATCCTCAATGTCCTTAAAAAAAATTACTAAAAGATTTTCAGTATACGTTCTTTTATACCCTCAGCCATATGGCTAGAGATGGTATACAGGGTTGCCCATATTCGACGGACCCATCTGGCAACGACATAACTTTGGACAGAGATGCCACATCGCTTAATGACATACTGCGTTTGAAGCGTCAGTCCAAGCAGATTTATACCATGAACCAATACACGCCACGCGAGCGCTCTGAAATAGTTGAAATTTACATTCAACAGAAGAAGTCAATTGTGAAAACTCAACGTACTTTTAAAACATTAACAAGTTAAAAAGCAGTAAGTTCGGCCGGGCCGAACTTTCAATACCCTCCACCATTTGCAACGAATTTGGAAATTTTCAAAAAATAAAATCCTTAAAAAATTCTGTTAAAATTTTAAAAATACCGAATATAGCCGTTATATTGGGGTCTATACGACGTGGACATACATATGCATAGTTTGTCATAAGCCATTACCATATTCAAATTCGAAACTAGACCCGCACCGACAATTTTCTGTCACAGACTGCAGTTCCCATAACGAACTTCAAATACCAAATGTTAAACAATTCCGGTGAATAATGTCGCTAAAATCATCAAAATACCGAACATAGCGAGGTGCCGTTATATGGGGGCTATACGAAGACGTGGACCTGCACAGACACTTTTCAGTCTTAGGGTGTAGTATCCATTTAGAACTTCAAATACCAAATTTGAAACAATTCCGGTGAATAACGTCGCTAAAATCATCAAAATACCGAATATAGGGGGGTTACCGTTATACGGGAGCTGTATGAAAACGTGGACCTACATGGCCCATTTACGAACTTAACCTGCCTACTGGAAAAATAAACATGTGTGCAAAATTTTAGCCATCTATCTCAATTCATTCGAAAGATAGCGTGATTACAACAGACAGACGGACAGACAGACAGACGGACAAACAGACAGACAGACGGACATCGCTAAATCGACTTAGAATTTTACGCTGATCAAGAATATATGTACTTTGTTGGGTCTGACATGAGTATTTCGAGGAGTTACAAACGGAATGACAAAGTTAATATACCCTCCATAGTATGGTGGAGGGTATAAAAAATGTGAGAAGTGCACCTTCTAAGAACACCATTAAGCGTTTATACGAAAAATTTTCGACTGGTAAGGCTCTTTCTAATCCGAAGAGGCCATATAAAAGTCGACCAAGGCGATCGGCTGAGAATATCGCTGCCGTACGAGCCAGTGTTGAGAGGTCCCCAAGAACATCCCAAAAACGCCGTTCTCAGCAGTTGGGCATGGCTCGGTCCACTTTACAATGGATTATTCGCATTGATTTGCATTTGTTCTCGTACAAAATTCAATTGACGCAAAGAATGTTGCCTGCGGACAAGCCTCGTCGATTGGAATGGGCCCAAAGGTCCGTCGAATATGGGCAACCCTGTATAACATTTGATACGGGTTTAGACCCTAGATCTCTTTGAACCAAATCCGTTTCAGGATATTTGGAGACGATCTAGCGATGTTCGTCTGTCCGTCTGGTTGGTGGCACATAACTCTTAAATGGAGTATCGGATTTGGTCCAAACTTGGTACATCCTAACATTATTATCAAACTTAGATCGAGTCCGGCGGTGCACTCTTTCTTATATCTGCCCCACAAAGGGTCACAATTTTAAAAATCTATGAACCTCATAAAACACGATATTAACATCTGATTCAATTCAGACTTGGCACATCTCAATATTTTCATTAACACAAGACACAAGGTATAAAGATGGTAGAGATCGGACCATTCCTTCTAGTACCTCCCCCACAAAGGGTCAACATTTTGGAAAAACCAAAACGATCATAAAATCCGAAATTAGAATCCGGTTCTCTTTATATTTCACACATTCCATTATTTCTACTATCACAAGATATGCTGTGAAGATGGGATATATCGGTCCACTCCATCTGGTATCTCCTCCACAAAGGGTCAAAATTTTGAATATCCATGAGCTCATAAAACGCGAAATTAACATTCGATTCCATTCAGACTTAGCTCATCTCAATATTTCCATCAACACAAGATGTGTTATAAATATGGTAGAGATCGGACCATTCCTTCTGGTCCCCCCCCCGCAAAGGGTCAACATTTTGGAATAACCAAAACGATCATAAAATCCGAAATAAGAATCCAATTATTTTTACTAGCACAAGATATGTTGTGAAAATGGCGCACTTCTTCTGGTACTTTTTTGAAAAAAAACTCCCTTCAAATTTCTCACATCCAAACATTTTTGCTAACGCAAAATTACTTGTTGAGATGATAGATATCTGCCAACCCTTTCTGGTACCAAACCCACAAGGGGTCACAATTTCCAATACTGTCATAACTTGCGAAACAAGTCGGCGACCAGAAATCTGATATAAATATGTAATTTATCGGAATTTATGATTTCGTAGAAAATTGGATATAAATATTCGATTTCCCTTAAACTTTTGTACATACCAATATTTTTATCTGTATTAGATAAAATGGAATATTTCGGTCCGCTGTATCTGATACCTCATATTTCCACATTTTCCAACAATTTTTACGATATTGTCTAAATATGACACGTTGTAATATTTATATCAGACTTAGGTCAGATACAAATTGGGCAATATTGCCCAACTGCTTCGGAACCTCCCCCATAAAGGATCAACAGTTAGAATAATCATAACTCAAGGCTGGGAGTATACATCTGATAACATGTTATTATATATCCTTCATTGTTCAATATTCGTTGAATATTCTTAAATTGTTTAAAAAATCTTTGTAAATAGTAATTTAATTGTAAATAGCCAATCCACACCAAAGGTGTTCAAAAATATTTTTTACTAAAATTTAAAAAAAAAAAAACATAAATTTTAAAAAGTTTCTTAAAAAGTCCCTATTTTTGTCTTTAAAAACTGGAATGAAGGTTCTTGAAAAATAGTGCTAACATTTTTTTATTTATTTCTTCGGTTCCTCTTTTATTAAGCTTACGATCTCGACACTTGTGTAAAAAAAGCTTTTTGTCATAGAAGTTATTTTTAAAATAACTTCTGGGAAGAATATCTTAGGAAAAAAAACAAGGGAACTGATGAGGATTGGTACCTCTTTCCGAAACCTAGGTATTCCCTGCCTTACCCTCTGGTAAACATTACCACCGTTCTCCACTAATAAACAAACGTTATTTTTATAAAAACAACAATAAAGGGATTAAGCCTGACCATTTTGCATCAACAAAATTCCTAACATTCCTCGAAAATATTTTATATTAAATTCGATACCTGCAATTCTTGTAATTCTTGAAAAAAATCCCTGAAAAACGAAAAGAATGTCCTTGAAAAAATATTTCTTAGAGTCCTTTAAAACATTTTCCAAAAATGTCTACACCTATTTTCCCCAAAAACTACACTCATGAATATTCCTAAAACACAAATATTTTTAATGGTGCTTGAAAATATTTTCTCAAAAATTCTATGATTATGATTCTCCCTTAAAAGTTCTAAGAAATAAATATATGGTAAAGTACGCATGGGTTTTATCCTCCCAATTTTTTTATAAATTACAATCTATGAAAATAATTAAAAAATGGAATTACTTTTTCATACACTTAACCGCAAAACTCTTGAATAAAAATGTTACACAAAATTAAATGAAATTCATTGAAATGTTCTTTGGGAATTAGAAAATTGCTATGTTCGTGACATACATAATTACACATGCATATGTATACATGTATACACACATCCATACATAAATTCCCGTGCGCCCATACCCATCTCTCTCTCTCTCTCATAATGAACTTAATTGAAATTCTCCGAAAGTAATTCATTCACGTGAACCATTCTCAAACTCTCTGTGTGAAATGAAGAAGAAGATTGATATGTTACAACAAAAATTATTAAGAAAATCCATCAAGGATTCCCTCCTTTTTTTCCACTTCATATAGAATTCATAAATTGAAACAGCTTGCCGGCCACATCTTTACTATATTTTTTGATCCCAAACATATATCTACAGACATTATTCTCACTCACTGCTACATGAATAACATACAAATGAAATGGCAACACACACGCACGCACACTCACACAAAGAAGGAGAAAAAGACGAAGAAGAAGAAATATTTATTGTGAATTAAACAAAACGATTTCTAAATGGACACCAACTGGGTCTTGGCATGCAAACACATATTTTTGGTTAGGCCAGTTTGGCGTATGTATTTAACAAAATAGAAAACCAATTAGTAATAAATACTTAAATAGGCGGCAGAAGAAACTTAACTTCAAAACCAGTAAACAAAGTCTTAAAGTCGGGCGGTCCGACTTTATGATACCCTACACCACTTTGCTAATTTAGTAGAGCTCCGCATAACAATTAAAAGTTTTTATGGGAGAATTCAATCATACACGCTATGATTATAATTATAATTTAAGGTTCAAAGGACTAAATATGCCGAAACATTTGTATCTTTTAAATTCGGACTTGTATTGCCCATTTGGTGCACAATTAATTTGAAATCGGATAAAAATATATATGGGAGCTATATCCAAATCTGAACCAATCTTCACAAAATTTGGCAAAGATATTTCTGAGCTGTATTTCATATATTTCTCCAAATATCGTCGTTACGGAGTGCATATTACGGCTGTGGGTAACAAATATAACAAATCGGATGAACAGTATATATGGGAGCTATAGCTATATCTGAACCGATCTTCAACAAATTTGACATACTAGTTTCTAGACTCAATTCGGTCCCATTTGGGCAAATATTAGACGTTTGGTGCACAATTAAAGGTAAATCGGACGAAGTTATATATGGGAGCTATATCCAAATCTGAACCGATTTCGATAAAATTTAGCAAATGTATTTCTGAGCTGTATTTGATATAATTCCCAAATATATTGTTGTTACAGAGTGCATATTACGGCTGCGGAAGACAAAAATGACAAATCGGATGAACAATATATATGGGAGCTATAGCTATA